TGGTTTGTTTCTTAACTTTACAAACAGACCGATTAACTCAACTTTAAATTAAAATGACTGAATTATTTCCCCCCAAAAATAATAAAATTTTACAGGTATTCAGTTCGAAAAAATTCATTTCACTTCCGTTTGATGTATGGTATCTCTATTATTTTTCCTCTCACATTTATCGCTTTAGTGATTATAAATGTAATAGAGAATCCAACTCGGTAGAAAATTTAATTAAAAAAATAAATAAAATATATTCAGTCAAAGCATGTGCTACCTTGAGGAGCTTATTACCCAACAGGGACAAGCAAAATTTCATAACGCTTGTTTAGCCTTCAATCTTATTACTTTGGCCTGTTATATTGTGATGATTTTCAAAATTAAATGGGATATAAATAAGGGGAAATGTTGGTAGTTTATTTGTTATTCGTGTTTAGAGAGGAGGGGAGGGGGGATTGGGGGGGGGGAGTAGAGGGAGGGAAGGGAGGGGGGAGGAATGGGAAGGATATTTTGTTGAGTTTATTATTGAAGAGTAAATAAATTTTAAATTTTTAAGTGAATACAGTTAAAGTAGCTTTATTCAAATCCCTTTCTATCATTATGGGAATTCAAATCGGTGGATGGTTATTTTCATTAACTGCCTACAATTTAGTTGATAAAGGATATCTAAATAATTTGAGTGAAGATAAACAAACATTAATTCGTGGAGCAATTAATTGTTTTAGTTCTTTAACTTCAACTTGTGAAGTTCCGGCTATTTTTATATCAAGGTGTTTTTTGATTAGAAATTATAATTTAAAGGAAAATTGCTTCTAGGCAAATTTGAGTATCCAGAAATTTATTATTAATTTTTGGAGGATATTTAAAAAATTTCAATTGTTTAAAACAAACTCTCAATTAAAAAATTTAGAATTTTATTTTTATTATTTCAGCACTGAACATCGTAATGCATTGAAGAAAACATTTGGAATTAATAATTTAAAATATCAAACAAAAAATAAAAATAAAATCGTGTCAAGTACACAGATAAATCCAATTAATTTTAACCCCAAAATTCCAAAAAAATTTTAAGTAAAAATTTAAATTTTTTTTTGTTTAATTTTCTGTACTAAAATTGTACTCTAAAATTATATTTAAAAATTAAATTTTTTAAAATTTTTAATTAAAAATTGAAACATTTTATCTTTCATAGCGTGACTAAAAAATTTTAAATACAAATTTTATTTAAATATTTTATTTGTTACACGCGATTAAAAAATTTTTTTTCTTCAAAATTTAAATCTAAAATTTTTTAAAGGTTAAATGTCTTCCTTGTTGAGATGTTAATAATTTTTTAAACTTTATTACTTTAAATTAAAATATAATTTAAAAAAAAATAAAATTTTTTTTTTATTTTTTTAAAATTAAAAATAAAACATTAAAAATTAAAAAAATGTATTTTTAATTTTTTTTTCAATTTAAAACTTTTCACATAAAACCTTTTTTTTTAATATCTTTTTTCAATTTTTAAGTTTTTTTTTTTGAAATTTAAATAAACTTTATATATTTATGGGAAATATTTTTAAATAATAAATATATTCCGGATATATAAAATTAAATTTAAACATTATTTTTTTATTTAATGAGAATATTTATATACTAAAGTATTTTTGTTTAAGTATTTAAAAAGATTCTCGAACAAGGGAATATTCATTAAAATTCCCCAATCCCGTCAATTTCGCCTAAGCACTTTTAATGGTTTAATTAATTTGGGAATAAGTACATGGAGATGATTATTTCAACAAAATTAAAATTCATTAATTATTCAGGACAAAAATTAAAATAAATTTTCGGGTTGAAGGGAAGTAAAGTGTGGGTAGATCGTAAAATCAGGCAAAGCACGTCTCTAAGAATCGAATTGAGTATAATTCCCTAATAGATATAACTCCACTCTGATTTTTCGAGTTTAAGCATGATGTCAAAGTTTAACTTAACACCTTTCTAATAAACGTAGCTTTTACATAATTTTTAGAAATTTAGCTTTTAAAAACTTTTTTATTAAAATTAAAGATTGTACTGTCGTGTTTGCGTGAAATAAATATTTAAATTAAATCTGAACTTAAGTAACATTTTTTAAAATTAATTTGCATGCTAAATACCTATTAAAATTCTGAGATATTTTATATTTCATTTAAAAATTTTTTTAATTAAAATTTTTGACTAACAAAATTAATTTAAAAATTATATAAATTTATTAATTTAAGAAAAGTTTATTTTAAATTTAAATAAAAAATATATTAAAATGACATTTGATTTGCAAGAGATATCCTTCACAATAAATACAATTGTTGATCAACTTGGAATTCCTGGCTTTCTTATACTTGCTTATGTGACTATTAAATTTAAGTAAGATATATTCGATAAATTATGAGTAGGTAGTGTTATATTTGGGGTAAATAATAGCTTCAGAATTCCTTCCGTTTAATATTCACAGTAAATATACAATGGAATTTTTAAGAAATAATTACCGGTAAAACTCACATTATTAGCTTTACAGGTGGAAATTTTGAGGAAAATTAATAAAAAGTTTAAAAAATTATATAAAAAACCATCGGAAATTCCAGCCTTTCAGAAAAATTCGGGAATCGAAATTTTCAAGGAAATTATAATTTCTGATTTCGGGAGTCGCAATTCCTAATACAGACATTCACACATTTCACAAATTTAAAATAATTATTAAATTAAAAAGAACACTGAACGGAACATGCCATCGTTTAATAGGGATTTATGCAATTTGTTGTGTTCTAGCCAAAATTCAAATAATCCCAACTTGGCTAGTTATGATTACAAACACACAAATACCTTTATGGTTATGTGCTTTAACCGATACTTTGCCAATAGCTGGTTCTTTCAATATTTATTCGTTAATGGTTATGATTGCTATTGACAGAATTCTTAGCATGTTTTTCCCTATTTGGTTTGTTTTTTTAATTTTCCAAAAATATTTTATTCCTTAAAAATTAGGTATTCCGTTCGCGGAGATTCCTTCCATACTCCCCTAATGTACGGCATTTCAAGTCTGTTCCCTCTTGCTTTCATCACAACCGTAATTATTACGACAGCTCAAGGCCCTACTCGGTAAATATTTTTATATTAAATATATTCTTACAAAAAAACTAATTAAAGTCCGAATCTTTGCTATCTGAGCGATCTAATCACAGCACAAGGAGAAACTAATTTTCATGCTGCCTGTTTGGTATTTAATTGGATTACTTTAGCCTGCTATATTATAATGATAGCAAAAGTGCTTTGGGACCGCAAGAAAGGGCTAAGTAATAATTGTTTTTTACTTTTATTTTATTTTCAAACTGAGTTAAACCGAGAATAAATAACGAAATAAAAAGCCTAAATAATACATACATATTTAAATATCCGATTTAAAATTAAATAAATTTTTAATCAACGTCTCAAATATAAATGACCTTTGTTTAAGTTAATGCTGGAAGAATGGCCCTATTCAAGTCAATAGCTATAATTATGGGCATCCAAATCTTTGGTTGGATGTTTTCATTAACTGCTTATAATTTAGTGGATAATGGAGTTTTTAGTAATTTTAGTAGCGATACACAAACATTAATTAATTTGGGAATTAATTGTGTTAGCTCTCTGAGTTCGACATGTGAAGTACCTGCACTTTTTCTATCAAGGTATTTTTTTAACTTTAAAATTAAAAAAATAATATTTATTTTTAAAGTTCTGAACATCGCAAAGCTTTATTCAAAACTTTTGGTTATGAGAAAAAGTCAACTTCAGTTATGGTTGTGAATCGAAATATAATGGTCTCAACTCAAATAATGGCTACTACCCAAGTAGCACCAATCCGTGTTGGATAAGAATTTTGAAAAAGAATTAAAGATTTCAATAATTTTTTTCTAAATAAATTCATATGTAATTATGTTTTTGTAAAAATTTTTGGAAAAACTTAGAGCAAAATTATTTAGCAACTCGCTTTTAAACTATAAATAGTTTCTTCTATTAAATCGCTCCTTCTCTAATTTAATTTAAAATCAAAAAAGACTTTTTGACTAAAGTTTATTCACAGAATAAATAGCTAATAATAATAATCATAAAAACTGTGCTATAGCTATTTCTCCTTTAGTTAATGCAAAAGACTATTTAGGAGGCTTGGAGCGAAACCACACTGATCCATGCATAGCCTTAGGAATTAAATACATAGCTATGTACATATTACATACTTTATATGCTTTACATAATAAATGGGTTTAAATAATATAATAAATTATATACATAATGGAAGGGTCGAGCCCTTAAATGTTGAAGACGGAAGGTGTAAGAACGGAAGAAAACATAATGGAAAACAAGAGTGGAAAAGAGCCCGAACTAATCTGATAATGACTACCCTTTTCCCAGAATCTCCCCGTACATATTCTGGTTCTGTAGAAAGGAACTCTGGGTTCGTGACCGTCCGAAAATCGAAAAGTTACATCTATTACGTTAATTCTTTGATACTCTGAAATTTCTCCCCGAAAATGTTTAGTACTTCACCTGCCCGTGGCTCTGCGAACCTCAAGATCCTTCTTGTAGCCCTTCCCGTGTAGAGAAAAATAAAGTTTTTTAAATAAAAATTTTTGATCCGGTTCTTGTTGTCGAAGATTTTTTAGGGAAAATTCATCTCATTAATTATCTCCCCAAAACTTCTTAGCTTTGTGAATATCAGTATAACGTAAATGAATAGCCACATTAGTTCTTTCAATTTTTCTATGCTAAATAAAATGTTTAAAATAAAAATTATTTTTATTTTAATATATTATATATTTTATATATAATATAAACCTTAATATATTTTCCTTTAATTTTTTTAATAAACTTTAAAAAATAATAATTTAAAGATATTTTTTCTTTATTTGAATAATTAAATAATTCAGGCATATTTAAACCAACAATCCATTGTTTACACCAATTGTCTTCCCTTTAAATTTAATTTTAGATTTAAATTTAAAATTATTTATTAATTACCAAAATTTTTTAAATTTTTTCCCAGCAATTAATCTTTTTTCACATTTTCCTTTTTTTGATTTATTTGGTGAAATATGTGAATATTCTAATTTTGGATATTCTTCCAATGACAAAACCAATTCAACTCTAATTCGATTTTTTACAAAATTACAAAAATCTTCTCCAATATTTTTATCAATTCCAACACAAATAATTGTTACAAAATGATGATACTTTGAAAAGAAAAATAATTTTAAATCAACAAAAAATTAAAATTACTTTATCAACAAAATCAACTCCTTTAATCCATTGTTTCAATCCTTCGTTAAAATTGGTGGATGATTGGCGACGGATTTGTCTTATTCCTTTTAATCCTATATAGAAAATTTTTAAAAATTAGAATAAGGATTGAACAATTTTATGTAATGTAAGTGAACTACATTCTGACCTCGATTGTATAAATAAATAAAAATTAAAATCGTAAAACATTAGTATATTGTAACTAATAGTGAAGTTGTTGACCTAACGATTCAGAAGGGTTTTTAAAATACATATCGAGTAGAGCATTCCAATGATATGAAAAATATAAATTCCTGTAAATTTTCTCGTGTCGATTAGGGTTGGCAGATATCCGGATCAGAAAAAGGTCATATTGAATTCGGACACCAAATACCAAAATTTTGTAAAATAATCCAAATATTAACCTTCAATAATTGTTTGTTTAATTATTTTCATTGTTGAATAATTAACATTAAAAGCACTTGATTGTTGTGGATATGCTGGTGTTAATATTGGCATTATTAATTTTGAATGTTTTTTTAATCTTTCATTATTTTCTTTTTCATTTTCTTTTACTTTTTCCGTTTCCATTTTTATATAAATTTTATCCTTTTTATCAACATCCACCCAATCTTCTTCAATTCCTTGCTTATTTAAAAATGTTATTTCCCTTGCAAATAATTCAGTATCAATTCTCCAACTGTGCAGTAAACTATCGTCAATTTTACCAATAAGGAAGGGTCTAGGCCAATTCCTTAAAATTAAAAATTGTGATGATTTGCGTTCGTTTCACACAATATACATAAAAATAAGACCTTTGCTTGCTTTTATGTCAAAGAAAGCAAAAAAGTGAAAAATTTTTGGTTAGGTGGATAAGAGCCTTGAAAACAAAATCCCTATAAATTTGGATCACATTTAATGTCAACTCCAGTTAATATCAATGGGCTAAGAAAATGAACATCCTTTTAAAATGTTTGAAAATTAGACTATTATTTTGTTTTTTTAATTTAAGAAATTATAATGATATATAAAAATTAAAGTTATTCAAACTAACCATGTCAAAAATGAAAGAAAGAATCTATCTATTATAACCAAAACAGAACAAGTATTTGGATATAATAAATAAATTTTAGTTAACATAATTAACATAGAAGTACCACTCAAAAATCCAAATTGATTTCCATAAATAGAATTATCTATAAATTTTTAAAAAATAAAATATTTTTCTACTAAATTAGGTATTTTACTTTTTGCCCAAATTTTTAATAAAATTAATGCCGAACGAAATATTTTTATTTTTTCTTCTTCTTTTGGTAATAATTCTTTAATAATTAAATTTGATTTATAACCAGATAAAGGAAAAACTCTTCCTAAACTATTATTCATTGCATTATTTAATGCTTCATCCATCCAATTTTTATTATTTTTTATTTCTTCAGGAATTTGTACAAAACTAATGTCTATATCAATTCCATGAAATTCAAATTTCAATAAAGGAACACGTATTTCACTAATTCTCTTCAAATTATTAACCTTCTCCTAAATTTTTATGTTTTTTACTACAATTATACATTGAACTCTACTTAAATTGTATTGAGATTCTTGATTGGAGGAATCCGAATCTGAGGGTATACGGCAATAAAATTTGCTCCGATTGAGATGAAAAAATAGACCCATTTGTACTCAAATGTGATTTAAAAATGAAGGCTGCACTAAGCTAGATAAATACTTTCTAGTGGAACAAACAATCTAAATGATTAGGGTTGACCGGGAGCGCAGGCTGGACAGGCATTTCGGGTGAAAAACAAGTGTTTTGTACATGCTAAAGATATATGTACATATTTTACCTGCAAACATAAATGACAGTAAAAAGATTGATCAGAACAATTTTCCTTTTTATCATCTAAACATTTCGAATTTAAATGACCGAAAAATTGTGCATTTCTACTGATTAATTGTTTTGTTCCATCATTATTTTCTCCTCCCATTTCATCATTTATCTCATTGTTAGTATCTTCTTTAACAACATAAATAGCGTCAATATCAGAATTTTTTGTATTTACTTCCAACATTAAAGATCCCCCAATCAAAAATTCATAATCAGCTTCAAATATTTCTGCCCATTTATTTAATATATTTTTTAATTTTTTAATTATTTCGTTTATATTTTTATCATTTTCTTTATTTAATTCAATTAATTCAAATATTTCATAATTAAAATTATCTTCATTTTCCTCAGAAAATATTAAATTTTGAGTTAATTCTGGATTTAAATATTTTGCTGGGCCATATTCTCCAATATTTTGATTATCTGAAATTAATTTTGTTTTGAATTGTTCTAAAGTATATTTTAATAAATAAGCTTCTTTCAAAAAAACTCTCTAAACTTGATGATATATCCCTCATATAAAATCCCCTCTAATAATTCTGTTTATGGTTTAGTACCGCAAAGCCTGTTTTATTAAGACCCTTTCAGCCATATTCTCAGGAAAGACTTTTTTGATTCTTAACCGATTTAAATTACTATTAGGTAAGTCAAGAGCCTTTGATTGTGAGCAGGCCAGTGTACCGCGAGCTAAATATACCACCAAGCTATAACTTTGTTCAAAATTGTTGAATTCATGGCGTCCTGGTATGGTTCGATTCAACTGGTCGAGAAGCATCGAACCATACCAGGGCGCCATGAATTCAACAATTTTGAACAAAGTTATAGCTCGGCGGTACATCGGGGTGTACCCCTTTTGATTCGAGGATTATTTTTATAATAGGATATATTTGATCAGACTATGCTACAAAGTTATTATTTAACAGGCATATAAAAGTTTTATTTAAATTAAATATATGTATACCAATATCCCTCTGATTCTTAAATTTATTCCAATCATTTATTTGTTCATCAATTTTATTAAACCATTCTCCAACCTTTTCTGACTTTTCAGCTCCAAAAAGAATTGAAATAATATTTTCTTTTTCATTTTGACTTTTTTCTTTAATAAATACAATATTTTCTGTTGAAGAAACTAATTTTTGTGAATGTAATTGATGAATAATAAAATAAATATTATTTTCATTTAAAATTGTTTTTTCTTTAATATTTTTATCAACTTTCAAAATTCCTTCAATTAAATTAACTAAATATTTAAGTCTGTTGTATAATTCAATTTGATGAATATTGACAAAAACCTTTAAAATATTATTAGTTACGGATATATTAATTAATGGCTGTTTTTATTAGAAATCTTTGAATTGGGTTTTCGCAAATATTCCATTAATTCCTACAAATGTTCTTCGGTAATAAAGATCTCAATTTTAAAATTCCACTAACTCAAAATGAAATTTACAATTTTCTACACCATAAATTCAATTTCACCAAAAATGCAACAACAAAAAATAATAATAACTTAGTCAATGGGTTTGGTGTCTCTGCTCAAACAATATGGACAGAGTTAAAGCTTTTCAAGCAAGGCCGTTCAATACATACCTATACTTATTAATTATATTTTTGTTGAACATGTTGAAGTTAAAAAATATATTTAGAGCTTCACTTAAACTTAGACACCCTCCTCCCATTACAAATAATAAATTAATTACTTTATCAAAATTCTGATCATCTTCTGTTAAATTTTCCAGCCATTTTGGCATTTTCCCTGAAATTTCTCCTCCAAATATTTCTTCATAAATTAATGGCCATATTTTATCTTTTACTTGTTTAAATGCAACAAAACGTTTATATATTTCATTAATAATAATGCCTATATCAATTAAATAACGTTTTTCTATTGAAGGGTTTTCGATAAATTCTAAATATAATTTACTAATTATTTGTTCATTTTTAAATTCAGAAATTTTTAATTTTAATTCATTTAAAGATGTTGAAGAAGAAAAAGAAATATTTTTTTGTTTTTCATTATTTCCTCCAATTAATTTATTTGTTAATTTCTTTTTTGGCTTTTTAGGAGGGGGAGGAGGCTTTTCTTTTATTTTTTGTTTTTCCTCAACAATTTCTGATTTTATTTGAATTGTTTGTTCAGGTGCTTTCTGATTTTGTTTTTCTTTTCCTGAATTGCTTGTATTTGCAATATTTTTATTTTTTGAAGATTTTGATTTTTGTTTCTTTTTTGTATTTTCTGATGTTTTTTCTTTGTTTTTCTCTTTAATTTTCTTCCCTTTCCCTTTACTTTCCTCCTTTAATAATTCTTCCTCCCAAAGAGCAATATTTTTTACATATTCCTCTTCTTTAGCTTTAAATTCTGCTTCACGTTCTTCTTCCGTTCTAATATCTGTTTTACTTATATTTTCATATATTTTATTTATATTTTTTGTTTCAATAAATAAATCAAGTCCTTTTTTAAATTTTTCTTCTCCAATTTCTTTTAATTCTTAAATTAAATAATGGAATTAATTTTTATTAGGATTAATTAATATTAGATAATTAAACGAAAGCTGTATTTTTTTATTTACACTTTTATTAATAAAGGTCAGCTAAAAACTCGGAAGGTTGAAATAGAAAAATCCAAAAAATAACTTACTAATAGCCAAATCCTTCCTAAAATTTTCATTTTTTAAGAAAAATTCTAATTTATTTAAATGTAATTTTTTAATTCTTCCTTCAATGTCACTTGTGTCTAAATTTCCATCTATATTTTCATCATAGGATATTTCCGTCTAAATTATTTTGAAAAACTTAATTCTATGGGTTAAATAAGTAATTTTGTAATAAAATAATCTTCGAAAACCGAAAAAGTTCAAAATTAGAAAATACTTTTCAGATTTTTGATATGTTAGATTTCAGTTAGTCCTTTTAGTACTGTAGGTGATTAATCGAAAATTTTAGAAAATTTTCATAAATAAACAAAAAAGGTTAAAGAATTTAATATATCAAATAGATACCTCAATTCCTCTTTCATCTTTTGATCTGCCGGTTTCAATAACACTTAATATTTTTCTAAATCTTCCATAACATTCAAGTTCATTTGAGTCCTCCAGATAAAATCCCCAATAAGATTTATGAAGTAAAACCTTATTAGAATTAAAAAATCCCAAATGTCTAACTTTATTATATTTAATTTTCCATTTATTAGAATTAACAATTCCATCTATATATTTAATCAAAACTAGAAAATCTGCCGACATTTTATTTATTTTTTTAATTTTTCATCATTTAATGTAAAAACATTTGAATAATATTCTTTTAGTACTATATCATCTTTTTTGTAATCTAAATATTAAAGTTGATTTTGAAAAGAAAGAAGACAAAGATTTTTATATTAATGATTAAAAAAAAAGAAATTATTCCAACGCCTAGGGTTTTGTCTTCAAGATTAATTTTTACAAACTCTTCAGATTTGTAAAACTAATCAAATTAACAATTTTTATTTCTCTATTATTCACTTACCTTCCAATACATTCAATTTTAACTCTTTATCCAAATGAATAAAATCATCGTCGTTTATAATTAAATTGGCTAATATTGCCTTGCTTTTAAAGCTTTTTGTTAATTTTTCTTTTTCCTTTTGATTATTATTTAAATAATTTTTTAAATATTGGGCATGTTTATATGTTAGAAATTTTCTTGGATCTCTTAATATTTC